ACACGGCTCTGGGGAGCCGGGGAGGGGGGGGGTGTGAGCGCTTGGCCCCTTGTAAAACCCAGCCCAGCGACCCCCTCCTGGAGCAGGGCGGCTGCTGCAGGGTGACAACGTTTTTGGGGAGCGTCCCCGTTCCCTTCCTCGGCTCCTTCTCCCCGAGGTCTGGGCCCTTGGGCACCTTGCCTGCTCCTCAGCGTGGGGAGGGTCTCCTGTCTCACCCGTAGCTCTGACATTTGGGTACCGTCCCTGACACCTCTGTCTTCGCCATGACATCTCGCAGACCCACCTGGCTGTTCGGAGCCCCCTCCTGTCCGAGATGTCTTCTCCCCGCCATGCCCACCTCTCAGACCTCATGGTCAAAATTTGGATCCTCCTTCATCTTCTCCACCCCAGACTCCCATGATCTTTACCTGGGGACTGCTGGAGGTGGGTTCCCATGGCCACATCCTGTGGTCCCCCTCCTTATCCTCCCCAGGAGCCCTCCCAAGTGGCCACGGTCAAAATCTAGATCCATTTTCATCTTCCCCACCCCAGACCCCCTTGGTCTTTACCAGGGGTCCCCATTGCCACATCCTGCGGTCCCCCGTCCGTTCTCGTTCTCCCCAGGAGTTAACCCAGCGTGCCCTGAGGTACAGGCGACCAAACCAGGAGCGACGCCCAGCCCGGGTGGGCTTTCCAAGCACCACATCAGCCTTTCATCCCGCAACAGCTGCTTAAGTCTCTCATTTTCCTACAGCTTTGTAGTTAATGGTCTGGGTGGGAAATGAGGCTGGAAGGGACTTGAGGAGCCGGTGGCTGCTCCCCACCCAGGAGCCGCCCGGCATCCCCTGCCCAGCCTGTTCCCCAAGCCCCTTGCCATGCTGCCTCCACCCCTCCTCCTCCACTGCTCCCTTGGAAGTTTTTTTACCCAAATCTCTTGCTGGGATATTTCTTTTTTTCCTTTTCCCCCAGACCTCTTCCTGCTCGCCCGGTTCCCATGGCCCTGGGGAGCAGGTTACTTACCTCCCCTCGGGAGCTCTTCCCTGGCAGGAGGCAGTGGCTGTGTCTCTCCCCC